GTTGCCTATATTGACCTTTAAAAAACCTCAGCTATTAACCATATCCATGTTTGCGGTGGGCAATTCAGACGAGCCAGATGTGCTGTTACTTCAAATTGCAAGGCCATTTTGTAACAACCTCACACATTTCAATCTAAAAAAGACCGTTCAAACTTCTGACATATTGCTTCGCGATGTTGCTGTACGCAATACGAGCAAGTGAAGAGTGTAATGTTTTCAGAAGGTTGGGTTTGTTGTTCAATTTGAAGGTGGGGGACAAGGTGAGAAGGAATAAGGGTCAATTTTTATGTATCTTTTAAGTAACCAATGTCCGGAGTACAAGGTTGAGTTCGATGTCTGTTAACCTGTTCTTTTGTTGTAACTGTAGGTCTCTTTGTGGAAGTTCAGTAATGATTGTTGTCGGCCTTAGAATTCTGGGTGTATCAGCATTTGTGGAAGCAAAGAAAGTAGCTAAGTTTGAAATGACCGTCTGTCTCTGTGTGTTCCTCCGACAAAAAAAAATTGTTTTTGTACTGAAATCTCGGGCACCGAAAAAAGGATCGATGTCCACTAGCTCTCCCGCACCCGACTGTCACCAAGCGAGGACCACACAAAATAAACCCTAAGATAAGTAACTAAAAATTTTCCTCATAGATATATAATAAAAATTACCCAGATGGGCAAAAAAAAAAAAAAAGAAACAACGCCGTTCCTTTTTTCGTTTTAGTAACAATGTAACGAGTTCCCGTTCCAGTTCGACCGATGCCAAATGGAACTGCGGCGTTCCTTCGTTCCTCCTAAAAGAAACGCGTTTCAGGAACGCCGTACCATACAACATTGCCTAAAAATCCCTATTATGTTTGCAGCAAACGCACCGTATCTGCTGTAAGATGCCACAGTCGCACGAATGTGCGACTGTGGCTTTCGGCTGTGAAACGTGCTCAATCAGCGAGGACGCCGATTTGAGCCGAACGTTGGCGAGGCAGCCCCCGTTCAATTTGTGCCCTGCGGTTGCCTTTTTCGATAACGTTAAAAAGTCAGCCCCACTGCCTCGCAGCCTAGAAGGTGTTGACTTCAGCGTGCTAGCCCTGACCAACGCATGTACATGAAACGAGGTTAAGGGCAGAAAGTCTGCATTTTTCTCGTTCATGCGGGTCCTATGACACGAACACCAAAATCTCGCGACTTCCGCGTCGCCAGTGCATATTTATCAACGCCACATCAGCGAAGCGAACAGATTTGATGACAGTGTCTAACGTGGTTTGACTCAGCGATTTCGTCGTACCAAGCAAAATAACACGCCGAAGACACTTAATACTTCTTACGTGTAGGAATGCGAAGGCATTAGAGTTCCGCGGGTCCGGCGGTGACATCACGCTCCCCAACTGCACAGGCGAGGCCCCGCGCCGGCATTATGGCTTCCGTGACGAAGCATCTGCGTTGCTGTGCTTTTCCTTATGATTTATTTCTAAGGCGCGTCCGATTTGACCTTGAGCGGGGCTTGCTTTTTTTCCCCGCCGGTTTCACCACTTCCGTGACGAGGCATTTGCGTTGCTGTGCTTTTATTTGTGTTTTATATCTGAGCTGCGTCCGCTCTGACTTTGAGCAGCGCGTGTTTCATGACGTATTTTTATGGTCATCTTTCGGGCACAACGCCGACGCCTTTTCGCGTAACGGGACATATAAGGCTTTCGCCTTAATAAAATCGGACAACCACAACGTGGCGTTTAGTTTGCGGTGCTTGCGGAAGAGAGCAGATGCTTTACGTCATTCTGATGTTGTTTTCCAACGCTCACACTGTTCGCTATCTGTGATCAGTAATGTGTCTTCGTTGTCATATTCCTGCTATTAAAATAACACACTGTCGGTGGAAAGATTTCGTAATGAACATGTCGCACGACGCTGTGAGGATACATTTGAATTTTCATTATTTCTTTTTAAGCACGTGCAGCAGAAAAATAGTGTTGTTTACAAACTCCGAATATTTTGTTTTTCTGACATCTGTTTCCTACTCAAGCCGCCACAGGCGCTCTGACCGGTACCCTTGACATCCTCGAGCAACGGCAACAAATGTACAAGAAAAAACAAACACAAAAGGACAACTTACGTCATGGCGTTTTTTTCCCCTGGCAAATAAAATAGGAACACTGGTACATAACGAGACCACATGCCCCATCGACTTGGATGCATGCGTTTCTCATTCCTTGCACGTGCGTTAAATACACACCTGCAGCTCTGTCGAAGTCGTATTTCTAAATTCCGGGCCAATTCAAAAGGCAACCCATTTGATTTTAAGTTTAGCGCTATGGTAGCCACGACTATCTTGGTTTTCTTGTCGGCTCTGGTGGGGAAGGCGCTGTCGTCCACTCCTGGTAAGTGAGATTCTTTTCGTCATGACAGCTTCGTTACTTTTTGTTGTTTATTCTTCAGCACGTGTAAAACAAACTGCTACGAATCTATTAATTAAGATTATTATCATTACACGTGTCTTTATTCAAAGGTTTATCTTATTGGAGTAGATTGTTGGGCTAGTTGGTTTTTGAACTTGGATTACATTTTAGCGCTTAAAATACAAGGACACAAAGACGAGAATCAGACACCACAGTGCGGTACTAACTACTGATTGTATTAAATAAAACGTCACTTATATACCGTCCATGTTTCTGATATCGCCCCATCACTAGAATGCCCGATGCCAGGCCACTTCATTGAGGAAGGGGGGTTCCGTATCAAGTAGATCAATCCAGGTCACGCTGATACATGCTGCCCCACCCTTTTGAATCTTATTCCTTGTCTTCTGACATCGAAGGGAGGGTGGAGGCCTGGGACGTCAAGGCGAAGTCTATCAGGACGTTATGGACCTCCTCCAAAGCATATGTCTGGCCATCTGGAGACATTTGTGCGAGGTCCTTCAGGAGCCGTTTGTCGCTAGTGATGCTCCTGAATTAGTTGCAGGCCTGCGAGTTCGAGGATGATATATGTTTTAGAAAAACTACCTTCAGTTGGAATAACACAAACATACTAGGATCAATCTATGGTCCTGTTGGCCCTGGCATGTCAACATGGAGGCACCTTCCATAGGTTCCTTCGTACCCCGAGTGCTTGTTGGTGACATGGTTGTGCATGCTGAGCCAGATGTCGATGAGCAGCTTCTTGTAGCCTCCTGCAGCCCCTGCTGACCAGCAGATGTGGTTTGTAGCCGTCTGGATCCAGATTTGCAGGTCTTGGCATACAGCCCGTTTGCTTGCTGCGGTCAGCTTCTTCACACCTAAAGTTCAGAGTTGTGTCAGGGAAACCTGCAGCGTGATCACTGGAAAATGAAAGCTACAGGAATGGCCTGTTAGGAATGTTTACTTTTGGAGATGTGCCATATGTCGAAGAAGTGGTCAATCCCAGGTTCGTGCGTCTCCATGTGCCTTTGTGTGGCGGGGTGACGGTCAGTCACAAATGATCGGATCTTGATAGCTGCACCATATAGTTTCCGTGGATGGCAAAAGAATAAGTGATTTTACCAATTTGAACAAAGTACCTTAAAGGCCGCCGAGTACTGATATACACGAACTATGCATGAACATATGTTTCTCCTTGAAGAAATCCAGAGGCATGAGGAGGTCCTCTTTTTCCATGTTGACACTGGCCATGACCCATTCAAACCAGAAACAGGTGTGAAATGAATATTTTACCCAAATAGTGCATAGCTGTAAAGTAACTGATGACATAACGCAAGAGAAAGATTACGAGATTGTTGCAACAGGTTCACCTAAATCCGACTACTTACCTCTCTTAGCTGGACCTGAACAGAGTGGAAAATCTTGTTGATCTGCTCGACATGGACTGTGTACGGCAGGTACTTGGCACAGAACCCAGGGGAGTCATATCTCCCGTCAGCACAGATGTCCACCTCTTTGTTCTCCAACTCGTTGAGAAGCTCCTGTATCTCTTGCGGCCAGACCTGTTCATTCAGATGAATACTGCTTCAGAAAGGCATGGAGCGTACTACAATAGTTCCATCTGTTCATGTATGCACAGTGTAGTGTTACAGAATGAACGACTGAGTGAAAGAAAAAGGAAAGCGCAATTCAGCGAGTTTGAATGTGACTTAGATTGTGCCAGGTTGCGATTTCTGTTTTTACGTTTGCGTATTTCATAAAAGAGGCAGCCGGCCGCCCGTTACCTTGGAGCTGCCCTACCCTTTCCGCGCTACCAGCCACCCTCTGTTTCTTGACTGTCACGGGGAACCCGACTCACTCAACCCGATTCCAGACAGTGAAGTGCCCCAGGATATTACACATAGCAGTAATAAATTAAAGTATCATGGATTTAGTAGCCCATCGCACATATTTAGCATGATGAATGACATTTTATCTCTTTGAACTATACCATTGAATGCGCATACTAAATTAATATATTTATTCATTTAATCGAAGTGTGACTGGAGCTCCAGTTTTGTAGCTTAATCGAAAGTTGGGTGTATGGAAAAGAAAGTGCAGCTGCATTGTCCTTCCGGAATATCGCTCACCTTGTGGGCTGCAGGTAAAGCGAAGGCTTTCCGATGCTCATAGAAGCTCGAGTCGGAGATGACCTGCACGTTCATATGGCGTAGCATCCGCAGCGTAGGGGAAATCTCTCCAGAGAAGACTAGGTGGCTGGTCAGCAGTATGTTCCCTGCTGGTCCGCCGTTGACGACGGGCTGGCTTTTCCATGTGCGCACGTGCTCCACAGTGCAGATGGTGTAGACTGTGGTTAGTGTACCGTCAGTTTCGACCCTGGTTTGGCAGAGTCTTGAACACGCTTGGCACGTCTTGAAAAGCTCCCTCAGGCAGCTCTTGAACACCAGCAACTGGCACTCTTCTTCTAGTGACGGTGGTGGAACCGATGCACCATGCTAGATTCTGAAGTGGGATCATGTGAAACATTCTTTGCAGATTCTATGTGTTTATATGCACAACTTACATCTCAAAATCCTCGCTGCGAGACGCAGAGTAGGTTGCGTCAGTCTGGCATGTCGCTGGGAACAAGAAATGTGCATTCATATGGCACCCCACTTGTACAAGTGGAGAAGGCTAGCTCATGTGGATGCGACGGTGCAGGCACATCTGCGACAGGGACAGCTGGCACTACTGCAGGAATATTTGTCTCAGCAGAACAGTCCCTGTCATTTCTGCCTCGCAGGGTCCAGGCAGTCCAGTTGCCGAGGCCTGGGTCTGAAAAGGGCACTGTTTATTATACATTTCATATTTTTAAGCTTTAAAGGTGCAACTCGAGCACTTCAAACAATGCCATCACCATGTCAAACATCCATGAATTGTTTTGCAGCTCTTAAATAGCTTAGAATTTCTTGCACTCAATAAAAGTTCAGGCTGTAATACAAATGTAAGGGATGCCTTACTCTTTATATTTGTTTTTATAACTTACAGTACCATCTATATGTTCGGTCTCTAGTTCAGAAACCATAAATGTTCATGTCGCGATATGATGCCACATTACATACATATGTGAAGCTGCACCTTGACCTGTATTTACCAACCACTCAAGGAAATGCAACAAACGGGTGCTCATAGCCGCAAGTAGGAAACATACAGCAACCGCTAAGGGTTTTCAACGTCTAGAAGTGCCACTAAGCAACAAAATTATGGAGTCCATTTGCTTTATGCATATAAAATTGCTAACGCGGGTTTGCACGCAGTCGTCCGTGCAGGATAGTAAGAAAAAAAAAACTGAGTTTGCTCACAAGAGTCGATATAAAAGAAAAACTGCTTGTTAGTAGTCACGGACAATTGGAGCTTCGCTAAGCTGATACGAACGGGTTTGTGTCTGTAAACAAGCTGGGAAAATGTTTACTGAATTCGAGTGGGTCAATAGTAGAGAAAGGTAGTTTTGTTTGTGTTTTATTTTTACAAATGGGGGTTCGATCCTGGTGGCGCATGCTGATATGGTTCGTCCTTTTCGGGTAAAACCCGATATTACCCGATTGTTATCCCCCGAACAGTTCTGATGAAAATCAGGTTACACCCGATTTGTCTTCGAAAAGCAGTGTTGAAATCACGTGACTTGATAGAAAATAGGAGCCATTCCGGATCTGTTTAAAAGGTGTTTCCTTCGTCATTCGTTGATGGTCTTCGATTTGCGTGACCTCCGCATAGATTCGCTTCAGAACCGATCAAAAGGTACAAACATCCTATGCCTATATAATATATTTTGTTTAGTTTTGTTTATCTAAGTAACATATTGCACGTCTATGTACTTGATCGATAAAACCCCCCCAAAATCCGAATTTTGGAATGGTTTCTGGAAAAACACGATTTCCCCCCGATTATCGCCCTGAAAAATAGCACCCGATTTTTACCCCCCGATTTTCGAAAAATGTAAAACCCGAAATCGAAGAACCCCATGCACGCACCATTTTCGCGATAAGCTCTCGAACCGCTAGTCCGGAGCATTACGCACCAATGATCAACTTGACGAATGCCATGTGGATTCCCATGTTACACAAGTGCCTCCTCAGCTCTAAGCTCAGAATTTAGAGACCAGAAGCAGCCACACTGCGCAACGCAGAATTGAATGTTCATGACACTCCCAAAAATATTTGAATCATCGAAGAACTCACTAGAACTTTTTGGCGCTTTGGCGGAGGATCCTTGGTCTCATCGACGACGGGAAGCAGAAGCGTCGGCAAAGCACCTGATCGAAGACATGAACGACCCAAGTCGTCCTTTCGGAAAGCACTCGGCTCGAAAAGTTGGGCACATAAACGGGAAATCAGAGGCATGTTGTCGATGTCGTGCCCTCGCCCGGCGCAGCGTAACCACGCAGTTCTTCGTGGTTCTATCTCCGGCAAAGGGAAGAATCGCAGGCCCTTGCGAACGTTCTTCCCTGTTTGATGGTGGCACGTCTTGACGAAACAATTGTTCGGCATTTCAGGGAAATCGCTCAAAGTATGAAAGAAACTACTGCAATACGCGGTCGTATTCTACAGATGACAAGGAAAAGTTTGACTCGTTGACGTGGAAGGATCGCAAAGCTGGCTTCGGATTAGGGATCCACGGGAGGAAGGAACAGGTGTCCCGCAAACGCACGCCTGCACACGCCCCGGGAAGCAGACGTGCCGACGCATCACACCCTAATAACAAGCTTGCGGGGAGAAAACATAGTTCGCTGGTTTTGGAACGATAATCGCGAACTTTGGTTTCAGCACCACAATCATTTTATGTTTCTCTCAAACTCTATTTTACAGCAACCTTAAATATGTTGCAATAATAACGTTCGCATTCTCGCGAGATGCAGCATTTCTATTGGTCAAGTTTTAGCGATCGGCAGGGTATGTGGAATTGTCTTCCAAGAAAAAATAGTCCCGATATATTTCTACTGCCATCTGCTTACTAAACGGTTTTGTAATCTAAAACTTTGTGTACATACTAACTTGCACCTACTACGCAATATAAAAACATAAGCAGACAATGTCAGAAAGCTTCCGGAGGGCCCCCCTTTTAAAAGTTCAGGTTTTGCCTCGGCGATAGCTACGCCATAAAGCGTACACCCCAGGACGAGTTCTACTCAGCTTGGCGTGAATATGGGCATTTTAGAGGGCAGCTCATAGGCGCCCGTTTCCGGCTTGAGCGGCGTCGCCGCTCAAGCCGCGAACGGGTGCCACTGGCAGCGTTGGAGTAACCGCGCGTTGCATTATGGGACGTTTTCCCTAATGATGTCTCATGTGATGTCAGGTGTGACGTCATGAGTGAGTAGGAAGAGGAGGATTGAATATTTTCCGCTAAACGTAGCGGAAAAAATTGCCCGCTTTAGCGAAAAAATTTCCCGCTAAATCCAGTGGGAAATTGTTTTTCGCTGAATTCTGCTGGAAATGCAGCGAAAACTTCCCATTAAATGGGGGGGGGGAGCACGAGAGGAGGTGGTACATACTCTCTCCTCTGTACCCTCCCCTCCTCCTCCTCAAGAGCTGCGCTCTAATTTTGCATTACAAGGAGTAGTAAACGTTTTTAAACTTGTTTTCCCATAATAAAGTGTGCGGAGTCCGAGGAGCTGCTGCCAGCGACAGTGTTCAGGGTGCCACCGCACAAATCGTGGGTGGGACGGCCGCCACACCGCTCGAGTTCCCCTGGCAGATCTCTCTCCGCGTCATCGGCCTCCCGAACACCGATTACGGACACAACTGCGGCGGTTCCATCATCAACAAGCAATACGTCGACACGGCGGCTCACTGCATCCTAGAGTAAGTCGCCCGCCTTATTGAACAGGATTTCAGACAAATTCAAATAACTTTGGTTTCAGCTGAAATGGGACTCAGCTCACGTCCTTTTGGCTGCTAACTGGAGCATGCCGACAAAGTCCGCCTGGTCCGGGATTCGATCTCGGGGCCTCTCCAAGGTTAACGCTCTACCAACTCAGCTTACCATGAGTTGGCACGTCAGTGGAGCAAACGGGTGTTAACGGTTTCCACCAGTCTTGATCATACTGCTAGAGTGAGATCAGTCGTGAATAATTTGACATCATGAGATTCGGGAAAAGTCCCCAAGGTGGGAAATATTTACACACTCGTATGTCAACGTGCCCGGGCAAGGCGGATTTTTTCAGCTGTGACCAGTCGCTTAGGGGGCGCGGGCTGCGCTCCATTTCAGGTGCAAGACAATTCCATTCTCACTTAAATCTTTTCCCCTTTTGGGAGTTCCCATAAGCCCCAGTATGTTAAAACGCCTACCTTTTCGCAAAGCACTTGAGAGGGTCGATCACCACAATAAATGGAGGGAGGTATTTAAAGCTATTTGTAGGCCTGAAAAAGTGATTCTGCAGCGACACTGCACATGCTGTAACTCCACGATCAGTATCAAAACGCACACTGTTTTTTCTTTATTTTTTTGTTTAAACATAATTTAAATTTCTTCATTCACCGAGCTCCCTCTCTAGATTGCGGCAATTAGGAAGTTTTCGTATACCATTTTTCGCACAGCGCTACGCCCTCCGCGACGGAGACGCCGCTATCGCGCATGCGCGTCGCTAGCCTCGCCTGCAGAGTTCTGGATCTCGTAGCAGGTAGCGGAAAGCGTTGCGGGACGGCGGAGAGAATGTACGGAAACTCCCTAGTGACTCACCCATGTGCGTCGCGGGAACGTAGATGCTCAAGATTTCTCAATGCGCAGTATAAACATCGTTTGAGAAGTCAAATTGTTTGTATTATTCTTTTCCTTGTATTCGAGAGTGCTAGAATATTTCTTGACCCAACATTTGAACCTTGACAACAGCTGCCTTTTTTTGTGTGTAATCAAAAAAAGGAATGAAGATAGAGTAATCGTTACTCCAGCCCGCTGCTCGCCCTCTCGCGGGAAGAACGAAGAACAAGAGTGGTGCTCGGCGAGAGGCTCGGCTTCAAAAGGAGACGACTTACAAGACTTGTATGCCATCTTCTCACGAAACCGAGCCTTGAGCCTCTCAACGAAACTGTCCTAACATAGAAAAACTTCCTAGCATAGTCATTTACAAAGTATTATTTTTGACACACTCTCACACGCGCGCGCACACACAAACGCACACACGCGCACAAAACAAACATGCACACTAACACACGCAAGCACATACACACACCTAGTCTCTCTCTCTCTCACACACACACACACGCAAGAACACACAAATGAACTGTACTTGATGGAATGAATAAAAGTTTTACCAATCCATTGAAAGTCAAAATCAATGGCATACGATGACGAGAAAGTGGCGGTGATACACGAGACTTAACTGAGTTACGAGCCTTCAAACACTGAGTTACTTCATACTTCAAACGACAGTTAAGAAACTGGGTTCAGGAACTGAGCTACGACATCTCCGATTCGTTTAAAAAACGTTTATGAACGAATATTAAAAAAGTGAGTGTACTAATAAGAAAGAAATGTTAATACAAACCACACGAGTACATCATCTATTCAATTAAAGAATAACAACGCGACTTGGATGCATTACAGGTCAAGAAACTTGTAATGCGTAGCGCCATGTCTTTGCAAATATAAAAACTTTCACTTCTTTCTTTTATTGTGCGTTCCGTTTTGACAAATGCATGCCACATTTGGCCCTAAGACACTGATGAAAAATTGGCCATTTATTTGCAAAAAAAAATAACGGAATACGTGGCCGGCACACAGACAAGACATCTTCACCGGAAACAGGAGCGTTACCACGGCTGCCACCGGTATTATGGTTGGGGTCGCGATAAGAGAAGTCAGTATATTGCCGCGCGTAGCGTCACGGACTTGTAGAAGGCTCTCGTTTATTCTTGCTGCGGACATAACTTCTATCGTTTATCCCTGCTTATGTTGTTCTAGAAAGTGCGTGTTCATACTCGCCCTGAGCGCGCTACTCTCGAACCTTCTCTGCCGAATCTTCGAGATAGTGACTCACCTTAGATAAGAGTTCGCCCGCGACCTTGTCGAGTCAGTTTTTGTCCCAGCGTTCGACTCTGCTCATTCGCCGACTTCGACGCTCGCGACGCTTCGCTGTTATCTTTCTTTTCCCCTATATTTTTTGCACAAGTTGGCCTCATTAAACGTTTCAGTTCCTTCAGATATTTGCTTTGTTTCACTTGTCATTCGTGACAATATTTCATTTTAGTAGAAATGTGGAAACCTATCGAACTTCCACAGCATACTGGAACTTTTAGGCTCTTGATTAGTTTGTTTGTTTTTATTTCAGTGGCTACAAGTCTCCGTCGAACTATATTGTTGTGATTGGCGAGCAAAACCTCAACGTGGTAGATCCCTACGAGCAAAGAATCGCAGTGGCGAACGTAAGAACTCGAATTCTCTGCACCTTTCGTGCTCAGCCCTCCCCCTCCCCTCTTTTCACCCCCCCCCCCCCCAGCACCCTCCCTCCTCCCCACCCGCCCCCTCCGATCCCCACGGCAAAAACCTTCTGATGAAGAACGCTTTGGAACCGGAAGTACGTGTTCCCACTATATACAACATGATACAGTTTAAAGAAGCCGGAATAGCGAACTGACGTAATTAAAAAGTCTACGGGCGAGAGGAAAGGACGCGCGAGAGCAAACGGTAAGGCTCCTAAAGAAAGTAGAAAAGCGAGGGCAGAAAGGAAATTCCATGAAATCCACTACATCACAGAAGCGGCAAACCAGCTGGGGAGCGACTATCCCCGGTTACGCAGTCAAAGTCCCGAAGGACCATGCACTCGCGCACAGCAAGTGCCGACCGTGCGGCTGTGCAAGCGCGCCCGTCGCTTCAATTGCGCAACCGGAAAAAAAAAATATGAAAATAAAAAAAGGAAAAGGATCTTGTTTTAGAGCGCAGCTCTTAGGCGCCCGTTTCCGGCTTGAGCGGCGTCGACGTCGCCGCCGCCGTCGGCGTAACCGCGCGGTGCATTATGGGTAAATTTCCCCGCTTGATCTAGCGATAAAAGTTTCCCGTAAAAAAAGTTCCTCGCTAAATGTAGCGGAAAAAATTTCCCCGCTAAATCGAGCGGAAAAAGTTTCCCGCTAAATCTAGCGTGAAAATTCCCCCGCTAAATCTAGCGAAAAAATTTCCCCTCTAAATCTAGCGGAAAAATGTTCCCCGCTAAATTGAGCGGAAAAGTGTTTCCCGCTATATCTAGCGGAAAAATTTATCCGCTAAATCTAGCGGAAAACATTTCCCCGCTAAATCTAGCGGAAACATTTTCCCGCTAAATCTAGCGGAAAAACTTTCCCCGCTAAATCTAGAGGAAAAAGTTTCCCGCTAAAACTAGAGTGAAAATTCCCCCGCTAAATCTAGCGGAAAAATTTCCCCTTTAAATCTAGCGGAAAAAATTTCCCCGCTAAATCGAGCGGAAAAATTTCCCCGCTAAATCTGGCGGAAAACATTTCCCCGCTAAATCTAGCGGAAAATTTTTCCCGCTAAATCTAGCGGAAAAACTTTCCTCGCTAAATCTAGAGGAAAAAGTTTCCCGCTAAAACTAGAGTGAAAATTCCCCCGCTAAATCTAGCGGAAAAATTTCCCCTTTAAATCTAGCGGAAAAAATTTCCCCGCTAAATCGAGCGGAAAAATTTCCATGCTAAATCTGGCGGAAAAAAATTCCCGCTAAATCTAGCGGAAAGATTTCCCCGCTAAATCTAGCGAAAAAATTTTCCCGCTAAATCTAGCGAAAAAATTTCCCCGCTAAATCTAGAGGAAACATTTCCCCTCAAATTCTAGCGGAAAAGTTTCCCCGCTATATCGAGCGGAAAAATTTTTCCGCTAAATCTAGGGGAAAAATTTCCCCGCTAAATCTAGCGGAAAAACTTTCCCCACTAAATCTAGCGGAAAAATTCCTCTGGGGGGTCACGTGACCCCCGTGGTCACGTGACACCCCCAGGTTACGTGACCCCCCCCCCCCCCCCCGTGTGCTTGGGGAGGGGGACATGTGACGCCGCGAAGTGACGTGACCGCACCCAGTCACGTGACCCTCCCTTCCCCCCGAGGTCACGTGACCCCCCCCCCCCCAGAACACGTGCACCTCAATACCCTTCCCTCCTCCTCCTCAAGAGCTGCGCTCTAATGCGGCGTTACAGGTAGTTGTAAACGGCTTTCATTTTTAAACGCCCAGAAAAAAAAAAAAAACATTTAGACTAATACAGAAATTTAGTACACGAAAGAAAGTTTGGTGTTAAGGCCAATGGGGAATTCTGTTTTGAGGTTGAAGATCAGGCGGTTTTCCTCTCTCTTTCGCACGTGGGAGGAGGGGAAGCCTGATCTGATGACACAGACGCGCAAGTTTAGTTCCGTATGGCCGTAAGTCGAGAAGTGGTCAACTACAGGTGTGGATTGTTCCGAAGGAAGGTCTCCCGACAATCTCCGGGTGACGAGACGGCGGTGCTCACGGAATGGTTCGTGCGGCCGTCGGTCTGTCTCTCCGATGTACAAAATGTCGGGGCAGCTCGTGCAGGAAACGGCGTAAATGACATTGGCTGACTTGCAGGTCTGGTTGTCCGGAATTTTGAATTTAAAGTGTTGCGGGGAGCCAAGGTGCCTGCAAGTCAGGCGTTTTGGGAGCATCACAGGGCGTGGTGCCAGGTATGATGCCAGCCGGGTCTGGGTTGGTTTTCGCCTTCAGGCTACTTTTGACAAGAAGGGTGCAGAGGTTCGGTGGACGGCGGTAAGCGACGGAAGGAGCCCTGGAAATTAGTTGGGAGATGTGCAGATGAGATGCTGCAGAGAGGAGTTTATGTGCTAGTTTTGGGACTTTAGGATGGTACATAACTATAAAGGGGCTCTTTTTGTCTTTGGACGGTGGTTTGCGAAAAGGGCGTCATGTCTTTTAACGGTTTCGCCTTCCCCTCCCTCTCGGCCAATGTACCTAACCCCACCTTTGTGACGTGTCCGACCCCTGCCTGTTTCTTGTCGTCTTTCGCGTCTCTTACTTGAAGAAGGGCGTCCGCCCGAAACGTCGTGTATACCTCCTTGTCCGCGTATTTGTTTCGAGAAGCACAACCTTATCACTTGCGATTACGCATATGTATCTAACCTGGAAAGAGCCCAATGGCCGTCAATTTGCAAGAAGGTGCTGATCGATCGGTTCTGACAAAATTAGTTAAATTGTTTTCTTTTAATTATTTCATGTGCGTTTTTTCTCTTGAACACAAATATCTCATGGAAGGCTGTCGTTTCTCGGATTGCCGAGGGTGCCTCAATGACCTTCTGTTTAGAGTGATGCCACCCTTTGTAGTACCCGATGCTGACAGCACGCGCTCACGGGGAAAATACAAAGAAATCGACGAAAACAAAATATCGCCATAGCACAGTCAGCGCCAATGACTCTTTCACGCGCTTCTGAAGAAAAAAAAAAAGTAAAAGTGGGAACAAAATGGCCAGATGTCGCCACCCTAAGCAAAGCGCACATGAAGGCACCCTAGGATAGCCTAAGAACCCAAGAGGAAAGTTAAATATTCCCATAAAAAAAGTTAGCACCCCAACCAGAACTTCAAATATTAAAGGGATCCTGAAAAATATTTTTTTCTTACTTTCATTCCGGGTGTCCTTAACATGTGAAAGACATTTCTTGGTTTTGATCTTAACAAACTAAACGTTACAAAATACCACGTTTTTGGTTTTCGTCGACCTTTTCCACGAGCTCGTGCCACATGTACCCTAATATACCCATCACACTCGCCCGCTTTTGAACGCAAACCGGTGCAATGCCTCTCGGCGTCGCAACAGAGAGGGGCGAGGATAGAACTCTCGAAGTAGCGAGCTGTTTGCTTCGGCATTCGGATTAATTAACAAAAAATAATTTTACACGTTTTCTCGAGTCACAGATCACGATTCATCCGCAATTTGACCCTCCCACCTTGAGCTACGATTACGCCTTGCTGAAGCTGGCGAGACCGCTCAACTTCACGGGAAGCGAGAAGGCACTCATGCCCATCTGCCTTCCGACGCCCAACCAGGAGTTCGACGGAATGACCTGTACCGCCAGCGGATGGGGATTCACGAAAGACAGTCGGTGTTTTGTTTTCGTTCGTGGCTGGGAATAGCTAATAGTAACTAAATGGCGGATCCAGAGCATCACTTTTTTTTTTCTTTCTCTGCCAACTCCTCATTGGCGGAGAAGGGGTCACTTGGGACAAATTCTACTACGGTGCTTGCGGCGAAGTGACCTTGCGGGGTACCCGGTTTGGGGCCGGACATATTGTTCACTGAGCGTTCGCGTAATGTTTAATATTGGACTGAAGCCTGACAAGAACGAAGGTTCTTGAACGTTCGGACATTGTATGCCACTAAAACGTGAGCGTAATTGCGTTATCTATTATAATGCAAGCGCTGTTTCAACACGGCCATGTACAAGCAGACGACACGACAACCGACCACGGAGTGCCTGCGCGCGCGAGCTTTTGAGGAACCCGGGCGACGCCCAAAAGCGCATGCGCGGTGAGCTGCCGCCGTATGTCGTCGCACCCGTCGCGTCTCCTGCGAGAATGACGGTCGCTTCTCCCGCAATACCTGGAGTCAAAAAGTTGAGGCCATTGTGATGCTTTGCTCCGCAAGAGGAACATATAGAAATTCTTTAGGCGTGAATACAACGGACAGTCACGAATAGACAATAACCGTGGATGGTGTTATTACACACAACATAAAGAATTAGAACTCCCGTATGGTGGTTTCTAACTCGGGATTGCTCTACACTGCAACTTCAATGAGTTTGTCTCATTTGCTGTTGCCAATGCCGTTAACGGGAAACAGCCTTGGACATTTACGCTATACTCTACCAGTGCACTCTTTCATGGTTGTGGTGTCTGTGACTCTTTGATGGTTGTGGTAGATAAAGTGTTAACCACTTCAACTACGAGGCCTTCAGTATTCCCCCGCCAGACAACGTTACATTTTGCGTTGCATGTAAATCAATCTAATGCGCGAGCATTAGCTGCTTTATGGAGAGACGCCAGGATTTCTGTGGCCGCAAAAAAATGACCCATATACTCCGTCTGTAGCAGCGAAAAACAGCGGCTAAATCCCGATTGGCTGCGACGCGTTACAGTTCCAAGGAACGCCACCCCACGGAGAAGCCCTCATGCCTGCGGTGCGGCGCGCGCGTCGGTAAAAGAGAGAGGGTGGCGCGTGCGTCGCCTCCACACTTTCCTCCCTCTTGGGTCACGAGACAGGCGTGGCCGGAGGGGGGATGGGGGGAGAGGGAGAGCGGGAAAATTTCCCTCCCTCTCCCTGTGCACTACTGCATCACGTGTTGTACCTCTATACTCACAAACCCTGGCAGTTCGGTGACGGAGCCATAGAGCGCCCGGTCGCAGATTTCGAGCGCGAGGGTCTGGTAGCACAGAGAATTTCCCGGGGAGTCTGGTATTCAGCGCACAGCTTTTGCAGCGGCGAGGACCCGAAACATGGTTTTCAAACCCGACGAGAAAAGATGCGGTCGCCCGAGGAACGGGAGAGGCACGAGCTAGCATTCCATCGCTCGGGACAAGTGTCTTTCGGCGTCTCGCCGCAGAGGGTCGCCCATTAAGCGCGATCCAAACCAACGAGTTTTTGTGCGCGCGTAGGCAACACCCTCTAGAAACGTATAAAGCCTTAGCTCTTTTCCCGTGACGTCACACGATAGGGCGGATTGGTAAATGTGCGGAGCGCTGTTCAAGAGAAGTTGTCGCACCAATTTACCTCGCGGGCACTTTTTTTCTTTTACGCAGACAGAGTACATCAGCCACGGGGCCTCATCGTCGATAATAACAAGCCTTTCGTCCTGTTCTATTATGTTCCGAAACTTCATCTCTTTGCTCCGCAAGTGTCCGATTAGTTCTGCTAAAGAATGGACTTTCTCCTCTTCCTGTGCCCTCTTAAACATCTCGTCGGACTCCGCGATAGCTTTTTGCATAGCAGCATGCTCCATGCTCGCCCGCTTAGAGTCGGGATCTTCTCTTCTTGTGGCTTCCCTAGACAGGTAGGTCGGGCAGCTAGGGAACTTCGACGGTACAGCGTCAGAGCAAAGACGGACATGAGATAAGGGCACTGTGATGGTGCGGCCAGTACTTTCGGTATGCGATGGTTCTCGGATGAGGTCCTCATGTCCGAAGTGAAGTTTGCATACCTAGAGAGGAATATTGCGTCCAATGAACAAACCAATGGGCATTTGACATAAAGTGCGGATTGCGAGCCACATTTATACGAATGTATACATATATATTGAATTTCCATTTGCAATGAAACAATTAATTTTCTACCAAAAAGAAAGCTTACCCTTGAATTCTCGGTGACGGAGAGGTCTTCCCGCGGCACAGCGCGTATCCATGCGTCCCTCAGTGTTTGATCCTTTGGGAATTTGAGCACGGGCACTTTGGTGTCCACGGTGTAGTTTCGGCGGCATCGCGGCACACAGCACTTGCACGGCATCTAACCGTCGCTGTTTTCACGTTTCTCAAGCTTGCAGAGACACGAAAAAACTCACAACGACGCGCAAAAAACGAGAAAATCGACAGAACAGATATGCCCGTCGAAAAAGACACTCGGAAGCAGGTCGATTCTGCGGGGGACTGGTTCAGCCGCACCTGCAATGGGGCGACATGCCTTGACAGGTCCGGACACGTCGAGCCGTCTCTCGCAGCCGCCCCATTAGCTGATGTAGCTAGAGTGGAAAGGGGGCAGAACCGAGGCTTTCTCCCTTTCCAGTTGGTGTTGGCGTAGGTCGCGCGCTTCCCGGAAATTGCGTATTTCATGACGTCGCCCTCATTCCTCGCGCCTTCCCGGCGCGCACAAGGAAGTTGGATAATTCCGACTTTTTCTGAAGGCGCATTAAACGCCCTGTGACGTAGTAGGGCACTCCTCTCCCATATCCTCTCCCGGCTAATAGACCGATGTCACCAAGCAAACTGCGCAGGCGCGCGCATTCCGGAAAAGGTGCCGCCGCCATGCTACTTGTAGTCATCCCTTCCCGGCTACATACGGCTGCGCGTACATACATCATCATATATTATCATTTAGCACATCCCGGTATCACCTTGGTTCTCTTGCATGTTTTTATTTCATAAGATTGTGTTGTTTGTGATGCCTTACTTTCCTCAGCAACTGCAGAAAAGCAGTTTCAGTCGCCTTATCGCTTTAGAATCGCTTTGTCGTCTGCTTCTTCCTCTTTGTGAACGCGTGAGCCCACTGCCGTTCACGGGGTAATCCCACTGCCGGCCGCGGAAGCACAAAACACAAAAACAACGGCGACACTACTCGAACATTCCGACTCCTCGGACATCTCAATTACCTTGCAAACAAGTGAACATCTAGTGCAATGGCAAAGAACACCAAAATTCGAGGGACCATCGGCTCGGTGTAGCACCACGAAACAGCATCAAATGTGATGAAAAACTGAGCTTGGTTGTGCTCAGTCTTGTGCATAACGTTTAATCAGCCATCAAGTAAGAGGAGCTAAATAGACTTTCTTGGTCAGCGATAGTTTTCTAAATGTTGTTTCATTCTCATTTACAGCCTGTGCCACAGAGTACCGATGAACAGCGGGAGAAGCCTGCACACAAAGTACTGATCTAGAGAAAGGCCATGCCTGACGCGCCGTAATAATTGGCATCTATCAAAAAGAAGCAACCATGCCAGATACCTGAAAGCTTGGGGTGGAGATGATTTTTCGTGCACAGTCTCTATTCACTTTTATTTTGTTTGCGGAAGATCCGAACGCTAACAGTTGCCCGACGGGGGAAGCTTTTTTCTGCGGTCTCGACTGGTGCTAATGCAGAATGGACCAGTAACACCTGCCTAATAGACCACCACAAAATGAATGAGGTTCGTTTCTTACATTTTTGGCGGTAAGTACGTGTTCCACTTCTAAATTGCATTATGGAATCTTTTCACGTTTGTATGAAAAAAAAAATGGAGGCTGCTTCCGAAAAGGCTGTTTTATTTCAAGTGGTGCATATCGGGAATCGCTGCTCTTTTTTAGTGATTGTCCTGATCTTTTGAAGTACAGTTGTGCTTGAAACATGTCGTCGCAATAACAGTTATAACCCCCAAAATACACCGAGCAAGAAGTGTATTAAAAACAGCCTCCGCAAAGCAGTTCGGAGGTCCTATTTGAGATAGACCAACGAATAGACCGCGGAGCATATGGTAAGAGAGACTCCAGCTTACGGAACACTTCGGCACGCTCTATGACTCGTGCCCTGTAATCTTACAGATCTTAGGTGACGTGCAGTAGGTTGGATATAAATTACGAAGCAAATCGCTAAACACGTAGTAAAACGCTATTTTTCCTGCCGCTCTGTCCGGCTCAGTTGACCTTTCTTTGCCATGCTTCTTTCTTGCGGGAAGACATAATATCCCAGGCCTTTTTGACTGGTGCTATTATCATAGCTCCGTGGCATACAACCATGTGAGGCCACCGATCGAAAACCATGAGTAAACACCCGGCTAAAAGTCTCGTGCTAACCCGAAAACTTCCAAACGCCGGGCGTACAATGCGCATCGACGCGACCGGAAAACTGGGGAGAACTACAGGTACCAGAATCCACCGCGGCAACGGTGGCGTCGCGCAACTCCTGGTGAGATCGATCTATTGGTGGAGGGCACCAGTTCCGTCTCCGCGTTTCTGCGCCGTCTGGCGCAGATGCTCTCCTCTTGCCCGAAAACGCACCGTCCTAACCAACGAGCATGCTTGTGACTCTAAACACACACCGGAAACAGCAAAAACGTCACAAAATACGCAATTTCCGGGAAGCGCACGACCTACGCGCGCACAAAAACGCGTTGGTTTGGATCGCGCTTTACACGCATCTTGTCTGCCGCTCTGCCTTTTCACTTTCGGCGGCCGCGTCACGTGGCGATCTGCCAGGCTTTGTCAGCATAGACCTTTCCAAAAAAGAGCGTGTGGCCAGTGCCATTTTGAGTAATAGTCCGTACGGCACGTGCTTTGCCCGCTTTCTGAAGCGACGAACACGCACGTGCTGGGCTGTGAAGATTTCACGCCGGACTGCGATTTTGTAATCATTGGAAACGTCTATAGAGGAGGCTATGGTTGTACGCTCTGCTTTCAGCCATGTCGCGCCGCCCGGCCAGCCTCTGCGGACGACAGCGGGGCCCGCTGCTTGTGGGAATGCACTGCGCGTGGGAATCTTTTCGCATTCCCACACGAAAGCAGTCTTAAATGTCCTCCTGTAATTTTTTTTTTTTTTTTTTGCTTTGTGTTTTGGGGGAGGAGGCTTTGTCTAGTATAGCCTTCCCCTGTTATTTTGCGTAGATAACGTTATCATTTATGCTTTTATTAAATACATAAAAAAACCTGCAGCCTTTCCACTCGTGTGAAGAAGGGAGACCAGCGAAGCTGTACTACTGTGGTGGGAATGAAGTAATGCCCGGCTGCGAGTCGGCAAGCCAGAGTGGAAATGCTCGAAAGGTTGCCGCCATCTATGAGCGACGGCGGAAAGCAGACAATTCGCAAGTCGGTTGTCTGGCTGCCGCCGTCGCTCATAGATGGCGGTAGCTGTCCAGAGTGCTGTGTCATCAGGCCATTTAGGACGCACACGATCCTGGGGAAATTAGCCCTTTAGAGCTCCGCTGTAAAAACGACTGACCAATACTAACCACCCAGTGTTCGGATACCATGGGTAAATGATAATGGACCTTGACTCCTGCTTTATTCGTCTTCTCCCTGCAGAGTTCCGGGGTGGAAAGATATCCCAATCCCTTCAGAAGGTCGATTTGCCCATCGTGGCTTACGCAACCTGCCACGAGTACTACCGTCTCGTTAGTCCGGTTGTAGAAAACAGCATGATCTGTGCCGGTCCCGAAGCCGGCGGAAAAGGATCCTGTAAGGTAAGAAATTCGTAGTATTTAGACTGAACCCCAGAGCGGAATTTTGTAAACGAAGGCATACTGATGTCCACGAACTGGCCAATAGCGCCTTTGCTTTGTTTCTATAGCACACGGATGCCGCGCAATAATTAATTTTCATCACGGCTCCTGGAACACGTGTCAGACTGGGAGTCAAACTGGGGTCTTTATCGGCAGCTTTAATTCGTCTTCACCTAGAACACGGCCGGCGCTGAACTGTCCGCGAGGCCAGTGCTTTCTCAGGGAACCACGTCCGCTGTCCCAATTCCTTTTCTTAGAAATACCGGAAAGTTGTTCCCAACGTTTGTGTTATGTACTTGTCTTGTCTTTGGGGCAATCTCATGTCCGTGTCCAGTTTTTTTCCACACAAGACCCGATAAACGCCGATTATTTTTGGACGTCAAACATTGACACCAGAAAAGGACGAATTCGTGGAAGCAAATAAATCCCGAATAACAACAACCCCGAATTCAAAGCAAAATATGACCCCCCCCCCCCCCCAGAAGAAAACAAAACAAAAAAACGGGGAATTATACATTATTTTTATGTAGATGAAATCTTTAAGTCGCTTGCAGACACCCTCTGAAGCATGTTTCTTCCTTGTTTGTGATCCTTTCACACTGGACATACAGGCAATGCAAACATGCTTCGAACATATGTCTGAGGTATGTCTGCAGATCAGGTCTGCAGAGAAACTCCGTGACCTCTGCATGAAGTGTGCGAAGTGCGGCTGTGGCCTCAGGCTATCCGTTGCAACCGCGCACTCTCTTTGTTGCCAGGGTGACTCCGGGGGGCCCCTGCAGTGCGCCAGGTCCGACGGACGCTACGTGCTGGCCGGAAGTATGTCGTGGGGCGTCGAGTGTGCGGCGCGCATGGAGCCCTCCGTGCTAGCGAGAATCTCTACCCAGGTCGCCTGGATCAATAGCATCGCCGGCCCGACCCCGTGAATTTGCCCATGGTTTCCATCGAGCGCCCGCTGTCTTTTGTTTGCATTAAAAACTGTCCGTGTACCTGAACAAAACGTTATTTTAAAGCCTAGGTGATTCTTGCGTGTGGCTGTATTTTTAGTTGAAATCAGAGAAGAGCAGCGGACGTTGCTGTAAGGACGGTCCTGTCCACGAGAAAGTACCCTCTGACTTGCGCATGAAGGTGCCCTTCATATCCACACACTCGAGATTCGTGAGATTTGAGTGAGGTGCCACGACTGCGCATGCGTGCCAAGCCGACACCAGCGCCACCGCTCTGGCGTGACGTCAGGGCCGCCGCGTGTTGGTGTGTGCGATTTTCCCGCCGAGTTCAGGCGATTCGAAAAACTGTCCAAAAACACTGCGAGACATAAAAAAAAATATTACATTGCGCTCGATCGGCACGAAGTTTTCGCGGTGTTTCAGACTTCCCTTTCTCTGCGCTGGCTCGTAAGCAGCCTTCCTCACACTGAATTTGCCCGATTAAGTGACCGGCAGCGAACGCTAGCTCAGACTGTTTCCAAGTCCCATATCGCATAAGTTTCGATTCATTTACTTACAAGGCGCAGTCACACTGCCGATACATCATACCAGAGACAGTCTTGCAGATACTGTCAGAGGTATTCCTTGTATAACGGTTAAATTGGCCGTACAAAAGGTGTCTGCAGGCATCTTCGAAGCATACAGGGGGATCGGTAGCCTCCAAGTGGTCTAGCGCCCACCAGCTCGGAGCACGTGGAGCAAAAGCTCGCGCTGCACAACCCAGGAATCCTGGGCTCAATCCCGCCCGTGCCCGTTTCGATCTGGATGAGCATCGTACCGGCGTGTGGTTGTGTATCACTACTGCGTGGTGCACGTCAAAGACCCTAGGCTAGCGGCTGTATTACACGGGCTAAATTGCTCATCTACAGGGTGTCACAAAAGAAAATTTACACGGTCCTTTTTACCGCAAAAATAAACTAGGCATCGCCGAACGCTGATTCTCCACTCAAAAATAGTGCTAGAGGTCACAGCCAAATGTCAAAGCTTCAGCCCGATTCGATAACTTATTCAAACATTAGCAGTGATTTTTTGAAAATTTCAATGGGAAAATGTTGGCCGTCGGAGTTTTCGAACATAAGGGGCTTTATGGCACCAGAAACCGACAACAGGCAAAAATGCGCTCCATTTTCCCATTGAACTTTTCAGAAAATCACTTATAACTTTCTGATTAAGTTATCGGATCGGGCTGAAACTTTGGCATCTGGTTGTGACCTCTAGCCAGTCATGGGTAAGTTACTTTAAAAAGTAATTCGTTACAGTTACAATTACTTTCAGAAAAAAAATAGCGAAGTTACCGCTACGGTTACCACAGCAAAGGAGTAACTCGTTACAGTTACTTTTAAAAAGTAACGACATTACTTTTCAGTTACTTTTTTATAACACAAAAAATTTAGAAAAAAAACTAGAAAACGCCCTTCACAACGTTTTATTGCATAAAATGAAAAAGTACGCTTTTTACTTCTTATTGTAACTTAGCAGCCGTTGCTTCTCGAAGTTAGTGTTTGAAAGTTTCCACGCCAGAGTAGTGGCGCAAATCAAAATACGAAACAAGCGCTGTGCGGAGTAGTGGCGCTGATCAAAATACGAGACATGCGCAGTGCCCCTCACATGTATGCACAGAAAAAAAAAACCCACAACATAGGTAGTGCTTGAAGACACTAAGATGTAAGTGTTCAGGCACAAAGTACAAGCGCGTGCGTAAAGATAACTGGATATGTTTTCATAAATCTACACGTGGCTATACTCGGGTCGTGACTCGTGAGAAAGAAAGTATCCACAACTTTGTGCAAGGCCAACTTGACACTCGAAATGTCGGAATAGACGATTTGGAAAGTGCAAGGAATGCCTAAATTACACTTGTCCAGTGATATATTATTCATAAAACACTGGAAAGTAACGACAAATGTAACTTCGTTACTTTCATCGTTACCTAAAAAAAAGTAATAGAACTACAGTTACAAGTTACATTTCTAAAAAGTATCTCGTTACAGTTACAAGTTACCAAAAAAGTAACGAAGTTACAGTAACGCGTTACTAGTAACGCGTTACTATTCAAGACTGCCTCTAGCTTTACCTTTGGGCGGAAAATGAGCGTTTGGCGATGCCTAGTTTATTTTTGCGGTAAAAAAGACCGTGTAAATTTTTTTTTTTGTGACACCCTGTACAGAGTGGGTAACAATGTCGCCATGCTCTGGCAGACTAACCTTCCTGCTGTTCAAATCAACTAACACCTAAATCAACTAACGCTAAACCACTTGGCCATCAATGCCCCCAGGAAAAAAAGAAAAAAAAAACGCAGCAAGCTATGTCTTGAACTATTCTTAGCTGGTCGATGAAGACGAACTGTGTCATTAAACGCAGTTGGTAGCCCAGCAATTGAATGCGTCTCTCGAATTTTTGTCTATTTTTGTGTTTCTTTTTTTTACACCTTTTACGACGTGCGGTGAATGAAATTCGCTTTTAAAATCGGTTCATGGCCCCTTGATGAAACCAAGAAAAAATATTGCAAACTTGATTTTTTCTAGGCTCAGGGCAAAAAACAAAATGGAAACACATCACAAAAATATATTTAGCCAAGTAATTAATTTGATGAAGAACGACGAGCATTTTTTTTTTATAAAAGCTGAACATTTTACAGATAATCTGTCTGGTTGGTCAAAAACGTACTCTCAAGAAAAAAGGGTGTAAAAAGGTGTATCGTTACACCCTCTGTCGCATATAATACACCACAAAACTTCATTTCAACGTACTGAGCCCTACAGTCGAGCAGACGGCCCCAAATTTTACGAGGGGCTTGATAACGGTGCGATATATCTTTTTAAATAGCTAAAGTACGTATCAAAGACCACATAAAGAAAACACCGAGTTTTTACAGTAGGGCCAACAAAACCCGATTAATTTTTTTTGTAGTCAGCAAAACGTATATTAGATAATTTAATAAGTTATATCGCACCGTTTTCAAGTCCCTCGTAAAATATGGGGCCCTCTGTTCGACTATAGGGCTCAGTACGTCGAAATGAAGTTTCGGGGTGTATTATATGGGACAAAGGGTGTAACGATACACCCTTTTTTCTTGAGAGTGTAGGACATATTTTGTTGTCTTTTTTATTTCCTAAATATATTTTCCTTCATGATGTTTAACACTTTTATGTCACTTCTAAAAATGTTTAGTGGAGAGTTATCCACTTATAACAATACCACATATAAAGTTGTACCGCTTATAACAATAAGTTGCTAGTTCAGATACAACGGTAATCGGTTATAGCTATTGGATTTTCTGGTTTTCTATTATGGCTATAAGTGGATTACGCAGTAAATGCATTAAAGTAATAAGAAACACGAACCGTCGGCATGTAAAGTGGCAATAAGATCGAACTAGAGAGGCGCTATGTCCAGCTTTTATTCCTTAAAATTGTGTGTTTACCGCTCATCTGTATTGGTAAGGTGGATAGCGGATCGGTAGCTCGTAGGTGGCACCACCGGCGGCCATTGCTTGACACCGGACAATACACGAAACTCTACGGGAGAAACACATAGAACTAGGAATATTGAAGCTTGTATGCGGCGCTAGGCAAGTATTTTATGATGTGCTTTGATCATTATATCGGGTGTTTGGAGATCGAATTACCAAAAAAACCAAAGGTGCCTGAGCACTAGAGAGTGTGCCGGCATCGCTTACTTCAGTTGCTAAATAAATGACACGTTCAACAAATCTACGACACGCTCCATGTTTTAGTTCGCCTCAAAAGCCCTCGATGTAGTTCAAAGCAAAAGGCTGCAAAGGATGTGAATGTCCCCAGTAAAAGTCTTTCGAATCCTTTTAAGCGTTTGTAGCGAGTACTTCTGGAGCAACCTTTTTGCTTTAAACTACAGCGAGGGTCACAGTCCTGCCTTCACGCTTAAGGTGGCAGTGAAATGTACCGACTTCGGGCAAAAGAAGAATAAAGAAGGCTTTTCATCTCTGCAAGTGAAAGCTACATGCTTGTTACAGCAATTAATCGCTTACTTTTACAGCAGACCTCACTGTTTATATGAAAGGCTTGTCTTTATTGTCATTTTTCTCGAAGCATCGTGCCGGCGTGCGGTCGTGTTTTACTACTGCGTGGTTGCTGTGTCGCTACTGTACATAATCATCATCATGAGGTCAACATGTGTTTGAAAGATAAAGAGCGCTCGAATGCCGGACTTGCGGAGCAATGTCCCAGGCTGACTCCAGTTCCTCGGAGCGAAGCCTAGGCTTGCTCGGTGCGTCGCCGAAACCTCGTTCCCTGGCTCGGTGCGTCGCCGAGACCGGATGCTCCAGCCGATTCGAAAAGATCCCAACCGCTTCTGCTGCTCGAGCCCCCCTGCTTCACTTCTTTTTTTCCACCTAGTGGCACAGCCGTGACCCTTCCTCCCCACTTTTGAGAAGATCACTTTCTTCCTGGCGTCTTCAGTTGGCTCCCCGTAATGCCGTCGAACGGCGCGCCTCGCACGCGCTCTGGCCACTTAATTCACCGCAGCATTGCTTACTGGCACCACCTGGTTCAAATGTACCACACGACGACAACCTCATGATACAGACATAAAATTTCCGGTTGAGTCCCACACACAAAAACACAATATATATCAAGAAAAAGAAAAAAAAGGAACCCCGACCCTGGCATGTCACCGAAATTAATTTACAAACACTAAAAAATAAAAAAAAAAAACCGAATGCGTCTACACAATCCAAGAATCATTTCCGAAACCCTGGTTCTCCTCTTAAATCTGACTTAACAAGTCTGCGCCGACGTCATGACCCCACTTGATATACTCCACATAAAAATCATAATCAGTTTATTTTTGCGGTAAAAAATACCGTGTAAATTTTCTTTTGTGAAACCCTGTACAGTGGCTAACAATGCCGCCATGCTCTGGCAGACTAACATCCTGCTGTTTAAATCAACTAACACCTAATT